TTTCTGCCAAGTGAGTGAAGTTGTCTTGTATCCTCTGGCTCTGCTCACTGGCATCACCAGCTGAAAACCACTGAGTGACTCCAGTCAATGCCACATGGAGTAGAAGAGCCATACAGTGAGTTCTGTCTGAATTCCTGATGTACAAAAATGTGAGATGTAATGAAGTGGTTGTTTATTAAGCCATCAATTTTTTGGGGAGTTTATATAGCAATAAAAAGCTGGCTGAGAATTTGGTAATGGGAAGGGCGTATCCCCATAAAAAGAAGTTAAAGCATGGCCTTTGCATGTAGGTGGTAAGTAAAAGCAGGAAAAAGCCTCCATGAAACTGTAAAACTGGAAAGGCCTCAAAGAGATTATTGTGAGGACTTGAAGGACAGTGAGAAAAATAAGAGAAGCCAGGGGTCTTATTTTGTAATGGTGGAAAGTTGGGTAACGTCACCTGCCACAGGATGGAAGTAGAAGGAGTTCCCAATGAACTCCTAGATCTTTTTGGGGAGATTTGCATGAAAAATATAAAAAGTGGCAACTTGGGGTTTTATTTGCCACTGATGAAGTAGGAGAAGAGGGAAGTAAACCAAAGAATGAACTGTTCATATTCTAAAGTTTTTTGGGTGTGTCTCATAGACCCTCTCTGATAAACAATAGGATTTTTAATTGTCTTGACAGCATTGACCCAAGATAGAGAGTAGCATGTCTCAAAAAGATCATGAGTGCTCTTTTATCTAATAGGTGAATCCCAATGACATTCATAGAAAATCCACAAAGTTTTTAATGGAGATTATATTGATGGAACTGACAAAGAGGACTAGAAGAGACAGAGCTAGTGCAAAGTAAAAACAGACCTTTGGTTCCCCAACTTTCTGTGTGCAGGAAGCAGACTCTCAGTCTGCTTCTTAAGTTGCAAACTCAGGCCATTTCTTACGGAAAAGAAAGGATGACTCAGAGGGCAGAACCCAGCACTTAGCTCAGAGGACAGAGCCAAAGGAAACATTCTGAAAGAGAAGGGTTGATGGGAGTGGTGAATAACTGGTCCTTTTAGTTTGCAGGTCTTTAGGTCCAGAGGAACTATATTGAAAAAATGTACTGAAGAAGTCTCGTCTACTGATTTAGCTCTATCATTTTGTTATTTATTCCTATTTGTTTGCTTTGTTTTTTGCCTCTGTTTCTCTTTGGCTGTTTATCATCTTCATTATTCTGTTTGGATCACCTTGTGAATGCTTTAATATAGATATTTTAAATTTAATTTAGGTCTATTATTTCCATTTGTTTACTTTTTATATTTTCTACTTTTTAACTGAGATTTCCTTTATTTTATTTCATTGTGAGTATATTTTCCTTTTTTTAGTTTTTATTTTTATTTCAATAGTTTTTGGGATAAAGGTGGTTTCGGTTACATGGAAAAGTGTTTTAGTGGTGATTTCTGGGATTTTGGTGCACTCAACCCCTGAGCAGTGTACACTATACACAAATATGTAGTACCATAAAGTAGTACCCAAAGTCACTTGTATCACTCTTATACGTTTGTATCCTCATAGCTTAGTTTCCACTTATAAATGAAAACATATGAAATTTTGTTTTCCATTCCTGAATTACTTCACCTAGAATAATGGCCTCTAGCTCCTTTCAAGTTGCTTCAGAAGACTTTATTTCATTCCTTTTTATGGCTGAGTAGTATTCCATAGTGTATATATACCACATTTTCTTTATTCACTTGTTGGTTGATGAGCACTTAGGTTGGTTCCATACTTGTGCAATTGTGAATTGCACTGCTATAAACATGTGTGTGCATGTGTTTTCTTCATATAATGACTTTTCTTCTTCTGGGTGGATACCCAGTAGTGGAATTGCTGGATCGGATGGTAGACCTTCTTTTAGTTCTTTAAGGAAAATCTCCGCACTGCTTTCCATAGAGCTAGTACCAGTTTACATTCCCACCAGCAGTGTAAAAGTGTTGCATTTTCACCACACCCATGCCAACATCTATTGTTTTTTAATTTAATTATGGCTATCCTTGCAGGAAAAAGATGGTATCTCATTGTGGTTTTGATTTGCATTTCCCTGATCACTAGTGATGTTGAGCTTTTTTTCATATGTTTGCTGGTTGTTTGTATGTCTTCTTTTGAGAATTGTCTATTCATGTTCTTAGCCCACTTTTTGATGGGATTGTTTGCTTTTTTTTCTTGCTGATTTGTTTGAGTTTCTTATAGATTCTGGATATTAGTTCTCTGTTGGTTGCATAGTTTGTGAATATTTTGTCCCATCCTTGTGTTGTCTGTTTACTTTGCTGATTATTATTATTATTATTTTACTGTGCAGAAGCTTTTTCATTTAATTGGGTCATTATGAGTATATTTTCTTTTGCCTCATTGAGATAGTTATGGTAGTTGCTTAAAACACTTGTTTATTAAATCGTATATTTGGATCTTATGTCTCAGAATTGGTCTCCATTGATTGCCTTTTCCCTTGATACTGAGTCACATTTTACTGTTTTTGAAATAATATTTTGAATAATTTTGGATTATATCCTGGAAAATTTGAATATTATGAAGTGAAGATTGTTAATTTTTTTGTCATGTTCCTTTAAAGAAGAGAGTAAATATATATATTTTTGGTAGGCAATTAATTTGTTCAGACTAAAATTGCATATTGTGTTATTTGGAAGCAGCTAAAATATCATTTTAATTTTTTCCCCTCTTAGCTGGAATGTTCACAGTCTTCCCTACACACACGGTACAAGGGGTAGACAGATACTTGAACAGAAAGTTTATACACAGAATTTGGAATTCCTAATCCTTGGCTTTCATCTTTTCTGTCTTTCTACATTATTTTTCAGTGACTTTGTTTCCCTTTGCTCTTTTCTCTGGATCTTCCTGTTGTATATAATGCAGGATTTCATCATTTTAGCTGCCCAGTGACTGCAGCTTTCCACAGGCTGAAAGAAAAATACATCAGTAATCTCACGCTATTCTGATCCCTTCTATCCTCCAGAATATTCTTGCTTCTGTTTATTCTCCAAATACTTCAGGTCATTGGTTTGTTTGATTGATTGTTTGTTTTTGACAGATTCTTGCTCTGTGGCCCAGGGTGGAGTGCAGTGGTGCAATCTCAGCTTACTGAAGCCTCTGCCTGTTGGGTTCAAGCAATTCTAGTGCCTCAGCCTCCCGAGTAGCTGGGACTACAGGTATGTGCCACCATACCCAGCTAATTTTTGTATTTTTAGTAGAGATGGGATTTCACCATGTTGACCAGGCTGGTCTCAATTGCTGGCCTCACATGATCTGCCCGCCTCAGTCTCCTAAAGTGCTGGGATTACAGAAGTGAGCCACCACGCCCAGCCAGGTCGTTGAGTATTATATTTTGTCCAGGATATATAAGTGCTATCTGCAGGAGGTCAATTTGTTAACAGTTTATTCAGTTATACTAGAAGCAGAACTCCCAAAAGTACTTTTTTTTTCTACTGGTTAATCAATGTAGTTGCCAATTTTAATTTTAATTACTCTCTTCTTTTCTTCATTTCTAGAAATTCTAGTTGGTTCATTTTTTGAATCTGCTTTTTCCTTGATAGTATTTTTTAAGTTTCAATTTTATTTTTTTCAAAAAATGTTTAAAATATTTTATAATTTGTCAACAATTCTTTAAATATAATCAAATATGAAGAATGATTAATAAAAAATGAAGTACAAGCATAAACCAAGTTATGGAAAAAGGCAATATTGTTAATAAGAATTGAAAATTCCCCAGAGAGATTTAATGGAACAAAATTCCTGCACTATTTACTGACTTTAGTTTCCTGGAGAGCTTGCAAAAATATCTCCTGGGGAAATTAGTGAACAAGGCTTTGGGAATAGGGCCTACCAAAATTGGGGCATTTGGTAGGGATGTCGTATGAGTCAGGTGGTGTTCATCCAGCAAGAATATAGTTAAGGAACTGGGCTGCTCTGAAGTTTCTCTTTTAAGTTCACATTGGTTAACCTTCAGCTCTCAGAAGTAGCTCAAAGTAGAATATTTCTATGGGATGAAATAAGTGTGGTCAGCTGAATCAACATCTCACTATAAAGAGGAGCATAAAACTTTCATCAGGACATGGTCCGGGCAAGTCATAGGCAGATAAAAATTAGGCAGACTCACCTAATTATTGTCCATTTAAAGAAGGTTTAACAAGAGGTCGTCTTGTTGATGGCAACCCTCAACATTTCTGTCTTTTGAAGTCAATGAGGACAGATCACCTCTGGAGTGGTGCATAGTTTTTATCCTGGCAATCTCCTCCACCTCTTATTCTCATCTAGTTTCTGGAAGATTGCTTCAGTTTTAGCTTCCAAACCTTCTACTGATTTTTAAAAATGTCTATCATGTTACATTATCTAACAGCTCTCTTTTTAATATCTGAATGACACTTTTTATAATATCTCTTTTGTTAGCATTCAGAGAATATTAATGGTAGGTTTCTGTCTTTGAAATTTTATTCTCCTTGCATGGTCTCTATTTGTCTTAATCGTCTTTTTCTGTTTGGTTTTTTATTTGCTTATTTGTTGTGGTCTCTGTCATTTGTATCAGAAGATTAGCATGCTCTTCTCTGCTCTCCCCTACTCGAACACTGTACTTGCCAATTTCTCTCTTTAGCTTTTCCAGCCAATATCCGCAGATTTCTATTCATATGTGCCCTTTAGATTAGGCTTTTCCAGATGGCCCTTTGTAAAATTTTCACTCCTCCTCCCCTACTGCATCGGCCTGCACTCCTCACTCCTCCTCTTTGTTTTTCTCCATTTTATTTACCCCATTGAATACATTCCATATTTTATTATTTATTTGTTAATCGCTCATCTCTTTCATTAGAATTTAAGCTCAGTGAGGGCAGTAGTCAAGCAGAAAGTCTATGCTTTATTGATTTTTATGTTCCCATAACCTAGAAGAGTACCTGAAACATAATAGGAACTCCCTAAATATTTGTTGAATTCTGTCAGACACTGTGCTAAAGACTTGACATATATTTTATCACTTAATTTTCTTAAAAGTGCTTTATTTATTTATTCAATTAAAATTAATTATTGTTATACCCATCTCTCATCCAGAAAATGTGAGCATTGGAGATAGTAAATAATTTATCTAAAGTCAATAAACTAGTAGAATAATATATTTGAATATATGTTACATCAGAGAGTTATTACTAAATATTTGACATATTGTCATCTCATGGAAATAAACTTTTATAATGGTTAATTTATAAAGTTGAGTGTTTCCACTTTACAGGTGCTCACTCAAGTTCATTGGAATGGGAAGATCTCTCAAAGTTATGCATAGTTTATATTCAGAAACTATCAAATGGGTTGAAGAATACAGCTTGCCAGAGAAGGACCTGAAATATAACCAGAGAAACACAAAATATAAGAGCTGGAGAAAGTCTAAGGAATCTTCCAGTCTAATTCCCATTGCAAGTTTTTAAGTTTGTCCTTATATAGGGAGGGTTTACTGGTATAGCACAAATTCTGCTAGGATGTTGAATTTCTATGCAGGATGTAAAATGGAGTAAACGATATGAAGAGTAAGCTTTTGAGAAAAGTAATAGATTGTGATAACGATTAAGAGAAACAGAAAAATGGAGGCAGGTGGATCACTTGAGGTCAGGAGTTTGAGATCAGTGTGGCCAACATGGTGAAACCCCATCTCTACTAAAAATACAACAGTTTAGCTGGGTGTGGTGGCATGGGCTTGTAGTCTCAGCTATTTGGGAGAATTGCTTTAACTCCAAAGGCAAAGGTTGCAGTGAGCCAAGATCACACCACTGCATTCCAGCACTCCAGCCTGGGTGACAGAGCTATCTAAAAAAAAAAAAAAAAAAAAGAAACACAAAAATGTTCCCATACCAGTGGTGGAGTAGTAGCAGAGTATAGTAAATGCCAAATGCAAATAAAGTATTATTTACGCTGAAAGGAACATAATGTCTCTTCTGGTAGGAGTGATTAGAAGAGGCACAATGACAGTCGATTCACAAAAGAAGAAATAAACATGTCAAACACACATATAGAAAGATTTTTGAACATTAAAAATGAGTTAAAATGAGATGCCATTTTTCATCTATCAAAATGTCAGCTATTTTAACAGATAAAGAAAGCAATGTGTTGGTGAGAGCATAGAGGATAGAGGAATATATATCCTCATTCATGGTTGGTGGAGTTTAAATTGTCATAACTTCTCAGAAAGAAAATTTGATATCCAAAATTTAAAAAAAATTTCATCTTTCAGCCTCATAATTTCACTTCTAAGAATTCATTCTAAGGAAGAAGCTGAGATGTGGGCAAACATTTGCATATATGGATGTTTATCATGGAATTATATGTAATAGCAAAATGTTCGAAATAACCAAGATGGTGGACTGAATAAATAAATTATGGTGCATACATACGATAGAAGATTTAGTCATTGAAAATTTAGGTGATTACAAACATGTTTGTTATAACCCAATATATGCATTTTTGAAGAACCTGTGTTCAACAATATCTTCCACTAAAATAAGAGACCTTAGGAAAAAATGGCAGTAGGGCAGACTATTTAAAATGTATTGCAGTGGCCAGAGTCAAGTCATGAATATAGAAACTACATCAATTATATTTCAGAAGGAAATTAATATAAGAAATTGATTAAACAAGCATTGGAGTACTTGTATGTTTTACTGAAAAAGTAAAAAAGAAACACTGAGATAATCCAAACGGAGTAACAAAAGAACATTGTTCCCTACCTAGGTTTTGGGGAAAAAGGAACAAAAATGGGGTTCTTAGAAACTAGAAGGGACCAAAAGAAGTGCTTGGAGATGTCTCATAGAACACGGTTTTAGAGCTTTGAGGGGACATAATGAGGTTGTTTTGGGGATTGCCAATAAACTACAGACTGAAACCAACCACTCTTACCAGAGGGAAGGGCTGTTGCTGAAGCAGTACTGACAGGAACAGCATAACCAGGAAGGAATGACCCTTCTCTTCTCCAGTCTTTCTACCTCTCTTTATGCCCAACACTGACAGAACCTCCAAGGAAGCTGGTGGTCAAGAAGAAACATGGTTAGCCGAGTTTCAACCCCAACATCATAAAACAGAGTCCAGAGTGCAGTGTGGTAGGTAGAATTGTAAGAGGACCTTAGAGATTTTCACTTCCTGGGTACCTGCCTTGTAGACAACTGCTAGCCTTGAGTGTGGGCGGAACCTGTGAATATGATGGGACGGTCACTTCTTTAATTAGGTTACATAATACAGCAAATAGTGCTGGGATAGTCACTCTAGTGGTTATGTCGCAATTATCTAAGACTCAGTCACAGCCAACAGGAGAGAGACTGGAAGTCAGTGAGGCACTCTCCTGTTGACCTGGAAGAAAGCAAGCAACAATGTTGCAAACTCCCTAAAGGGGCCACATAGCAGGGAACTGCAGGAAGCCTACAGGAGCTGAGTGATCCCTGCCTAAAAAAATTAGAGAAAAAATTAGAGACCTCAGGTGTACAGCTGCCACCTGCCAACAACATGAATGAACTCTGAAGACTCTTGAGCTCCAAATAAGAATCACAGTATTCTTATACCAAGATTGCAGCCCTGCGAGATCCTGAGCAGAGGATTCACCTAAGCCCTGTCCAAACTCCTGACCCATGGAAAATGTGAAATAATCAAAGGATGACATTTTATGCCACAGAATTTGTGGTCATTTGTTACATAGCGTTAGGAAACCAATGCAGGCCAGTTTGGAGCTGAAAGACAATAGCTTAATAAACCTGCATACCTATTCAATTTGTAACCATAGAACCAAAAAAATTGGTATCTTAGACAACCTGAACAGAGAGGTCAATTCAGTGTGGTTGGAAATTGCTATAGGGACACTCAAAATGCAAAAACCAGCGGAGTGTAAATGTGAATTGTGGGTGCCAACATGTTAGAGATAGAAGTGGAGTTCAAGGGAGTCGATTTGCTGTACAGGTGGACCCAGGAGGAAGAATAAATCTGCCTTAAATGTGGAGGGCAAAGATAGGGTGAGCCTCTTTGGGGAGGAACTTTGCATATAGTTATCTCATTTTTAGTTTTCTTAAAGTAGAGCTGTAAAAGGCTTTGAGTACTAGCAGAGCTGAGGGATCCAACTGAAGATTATCCAGTCTACTAGAAAAAATGGTGTGTAAATCACTGTTTATAAACGATGTCCACGTAACCAACCTCATTGCCCAATTTACAAAGTGCTTATGAGCTGATCAGTGCTATAGGATGAAGGGAAGAGGAGCAGGAGGAGGAGGACAGGAAGACTTCAGACCATTATGCTGCTGTGACTCCTGTGATAGAAGAGAAGGAAGGAAAGAGGCTTGGGTAGGCTGAGTTTCATACTGCATTGAGGCTCTGAGAAAGTCTTGACTAGGCTGTTGGCAAGCAAAAGTTGTCAGAGGAGTCTTGAATTTAGTGCCCCAGTGCTCAATCACTGCTCTCCACTCAGCCTGTGGAGAGCACGGCCTCAGGTGAATATTCCTGCAGATTGGAAGGGGCGGCACCTGGAAGCTGCTTGCCCAAGTGCCTCTATCATAGCAGGTAGGGAGATCAGAGTAGAGGATCTCTATGGCTAACACAAATACCATTTCCATCTTTGTGAAAATAACTTAACATCAATTTCCTGTAAAAGGGAAAGAGAGCTGAGCAACCACAATTCCTGAAACTAACGCCCATAATTTGAGACAAAGGATCATATAGAAAAGAAATATAGCACTGACTTTGGTGGAATTTTCTGGAAAGAAGAGCAGGTAGATTCCATATTGATGATTCAAACCATGCAGTGGGAGCAACAGAACAGGAATCCTAATCCTCGTGGTAAAAGCAAATTAAAAATTAGAGCCAAGAGTAAATGTATGTTTTTAGTTAGGTCGAATAAATAGAAATGCTTTTGATACTGCTTGGGTCTCTAACAAGCTGAAGCAGAAGAGCATGCTGATACAGTACATTTTCATCACCAAGCTAAAATGCAATTTCCCTGAGCCAGAAATTATAGTCCTTTCTGACCTTAAGAAGAAAGACACAACACTTCTTAGATTGGTGAACTAATCGGAGGAAAATTAAGCAATGATCGAGAATAGCTATGGTGTAGAGTGAGTCATTGTAAATCTCCAAAATGGAAATAATTACCATTTCTCAAATTTTACCTTTATCAAAATAATTTTCTATGCAGTCTCTAACCTTGCAAAGTGCTTGAAAATGTCTGTTTTCTTCTCATAACTTCAAATGGACTTTCCCCTTAGTTATCCTAATCTACGGTGTTTATTCAGTAAGTGACTTTAGATGATGTGTGGGTGCATGCATACGCAGGGGTGTGTGTAGGTCAGCCCGTCAAATTCATTGCAACAGTGTTATAAATTTTCTTTAATATTTTCCCTTATTCATACAATACAGAAGTATACATCTAAAATGTTAAGGCTTCCTTCCCAATCCCTACCTCCAGTACTTTTCAAGACATGAAGTTTAAAACGTAAACAAAACTGTTAAGGAAAATCTGGGTATAGTTTTACATCTTTAAATCTAATTCCATGTTGTTTATTTAGTTTGTAAAACAAGGTAAAAACTTTAAAAATTATTATTATTCTAAAATAATGCGTTACATTTTCACAAATCAATTGTTACCTGTATAGATGCCTTATTTCACACATTAATGTTATCCTTACCTGATTATACTGCAGTCTTGGAATCAACTATAAACCAAGGTACCCTAATTTATATGACAAAGCTATATAATGAGCTCATATGTTATATTCAAGAAATAGTGAAAAAGCCAGGGTGGTTGGATGGGATAACAAGAGTAGTAGGAGGAGATGATATTGAGGAGGTAGTGAGGGTTAAATGCTGTAGGAATCTACAGGTCATGATAAGATACTGGCTTTTACTCTAAGATGCAAGGCCATGAAGGATTTTGAGTGGAGGAGTGACATGATCTGATTCACATTTTCCAGGATTTTCATGGGTTCCTTGTACAGAATATACTTTAGGGTGTCAAAGGCTGAAGCAGGGAGACCAATCACATTGTTACAATAATCCAGATGTAAATAAAGAAAAACGACTCCTATGTGGATCTTCCAGTTAAATATGATGGGCTGTTTGTATTCATTTATCTCTGCTGCTTTCTGAAAGCCCATTAAAATGACAGCAGAGCAAAATAAGTAGAAATTCACCAAAGGAAAAAAAGAACCACACACAACATATGAGAGATGTCAACCAAATTCAGGAAGTTGCAAAGCAGGTGTGGCAACATCAAGATTGGAGAGGATGAAGAACACTAAGAAGCGAATGTATTTTGGGGGAATGTAAATTGGTACAACCCCTGGACAACAATTTGGAATTGCCTAGTCAAACTGAAGGTACAAATTCACACAGTCTGGTAATATTATGTCGAATTCTTCAGAAAAATAATTGCAAGTGTGAACCAGAAGACATGCCAGCAAATACTGGATCAACTAAATTCTGCATCAACAGTCAAAAGAACAAATAAAATTGTGGGATATTTATATAAGGAAAATTATATAGCAATATTAAAAATAAATAGCCTAGATCTAAAAGCAACAAAATGAAAATATTAAAAATATAAAACTCCATATATATATAAATAACATTAATTCCATTTATGTACATATATTTATATATAAATAACATAATTCCATTTTTATATATATGAATAACAGACTTTTTTTTTTTTTTGAGACAAAGTTTAGCTCTTGTTGCCCAGGCTGGAGTGCAACAGTGTCATCTCAGCTCACTGCAACCTCTGCCTCCTAGGCTTAAGAGATTCTCCTGCCTCAGCCCCACCTAGTACCTGGGATTACAGGCATGTGCCACCATGCCTGGCTAATGTTTGTAATTTCAGTAGAGACAGAGTTTCACCATGTTGGCCAGGCTAGTCTCGAACTCCTGATCTCAGGCGACTGCCTTGGCCTCCCAAAGTGCCTCCCACAGGCATGAGCCACCATGCCTGGCCAACACTATACATATAATATTATACATATAAGCACAGCATATATAATATTATATATAAACACTATGATATTATATATAAACACTATATAATGTTTATATATTATATATATATATACATACACTGTTAAAAATCAAGTAGAATAAAAAAGTATGTTATTTAGCAGTAACATATATAGTGTATGCAGAGACACTATATGAAGAAGTAAGGTCATGATGAGTACAAGCCATTGACATGATGGTTATACTCAGAACAGAAGAAGGGGATGTGACTGGGGAGGGACACTCCAAGGAAAGCTTCGAAAAGCAGCAGGAATGCTCTGTTTATTAGGCTGAGAGGCAGGTACATGTTTATTTTTTTAAAAAATAATAGTTCCTATATCCATAATTTTCTGTGTGTGTGCTGTATTCACCCTGCCTGCTCCAAGAAAGTTGTGTGGTAAATGGCTTGGGGCAACCAACAAGAAACAGAATGATTTACATATCAGGACCCCAGAAGAAGCTCTGGAATTTCAGGGAACAGATTCCTCTGAAAGCATAGGTTTGATAGGTAAGAAGGAAAATGAGAAGATTAAGAGTCTATATAAAGAACAAGTAAATCTGGGTTTTTAAAAATGCTTTTTAATTTTTGCAGGTACATAGTAGGTGTATACATCTATGGGGCACATGAGATCTAAATCTGAAAATTTTCCCCAGTATCTGGCACAACCAGCAATGATCATGCCCAGTGAACCTCCACTTGCCCCCTGACCTTTCCACATACATATATTTTTCTGGCAGGAGAATAGAGATTTATTTTCCAGAAAAATAATGAGTAAGACAGGGTCTAGAATGAGGAGACACTAGGCACAGCTGAGGACAATTGTGAGTGTGGAAAGGGCCAGCAGAAAAAAAAAAAAAAAAAAGAATTAGAAAAATATTACACAGAGCCACCTGCCAACCCTTTACCTACTCCAATCCCATCCCTTAGGCAGGAGATGGGGTAATATTTCTCTGGAGAGTTAGATTAACCTAAGGAAAAAGACTTGATGATACTGATATTTCAGAGTCCCTACTGAGAGTGAGATTTTAATCTGATAACACTTTTGTGAAACCTACTTATTGACAAGCCAAAGAACTTTCAATTGAGTTTTATCATCTCACTATGAAATGCAAATTGTGAATAGTCAGTAAAACCAGGAATCTGGAGAGAGGCTCTTATTGGAAAACTGGGAATCAGAACAATCAGAAAGATGAGCCTTAAGAAGAAGAAAGATAATACAAGTAGCAGAATGAAATTAAAAGTGAAAGCAAAAAAAAAGGTGACTTTTAAAGCGATAAAAGATATTGCATTCATGAATGAGAACAATGAATAGAAAGTCTGAAAGCAAAAATTGAGAAAATCTTCTATAATATAGATTATAAAG